AAATTACTGTACATCAATAATTTCTGCACGGAAAGAATCTTCTCTTAAAACTTACCCTGAAAATTATGTAATCGTGGGGCAATATGGCATTTTGAAGAACTGTATGAAACTTTTTTTAAATTTTACCATACATTTTATAAGTAGAATGTAAAATCGAAACTCTCAAAAAATTCTTCCAAATACCACGTTGTCCTACGATTACATGACTTTCAGGATAAATTTTAGGAAAAAATTCTCTCCGTGTAATAATTCAATTACTGAACTCCAGTAATTGTTCAGTGTTTCTTTCGTTCTCAGTTGTTACATTTCTGTAAGGGGGCAAGATCGTAGGAAGATTGTAGCAACGGTAAAATGTCCGCTTTTAGAAATGTTACTACAATTACATAATAATCGGACATTTTTCTCAGAGTGTGTGGGTAATAAAAGAAAACTAAATAGTTTAAACATTGCGCATAATGGCGGTTGAACGCAGAGGAATCCATTTTTAGGGCAAATTTGCGCAATGATTTGCAGTTTGAAGGTTTGGAGCAAATTTCTGATTGGTCAAATAATTGGACGTGCGCATCCATGAGAGAATGTTTCCCCTTAAATTCTTATACCGTGAATTAGCACCCAGTGAGAAGTGATTCGTCGAAACGTTGATTAAACATTGTTTCAGCGTCGATTGACGAGTCATTTCTCGCTGGGCATACAAGCGAGACCGAAGTGGCCTCGCGAGGTCCGAAGCCTCCTCCTCGAATAACGCTCCACGCGTGTCGGCGCGTTCGTATTCGCGCGGAAGATGAAGAGGAAGACGGGCAGAGATAAGTCTAACGAAACGTTTCCGTTTCGTATCGCGAACTTCGGGGAATGAATTTGTCGCGCGGCCTTCGCTAGGACCGAAAGAAGCGCGGAATTGCGGAAATTTGAACCGCTGGCGAGAGAGCTCGGTTATTTAGGGGTGGGCCTTCGCAATTAGAGACGATCCGTCCTATCACGCGACCCGACCTGTCTCTCCGTTTTGATAGATGGCCTTCTTTAAGGTCACACATATATCGAATTAGCTGTTAATGGGCGCGCTGTACGCGCGGCGCGTTAACGATAACATCGCCCCGCAGAGCCGGAGGAAATCCGCCATTCAGGGGCCCCTCAGCTGGGAACGCGGCGCGAAATTTGCTCCAAATTATTATGCAATCACGGCGTATCAAACACACGCTCGAGCGACCTGGGGACGCGGATTGACGTAATGCGCGGCGATACGTCGTGTGTTTGCAGTTCCACGCGATGATAGCGTATCAATCGCCAAGTCTCGGCCCAAGTTTAAGGAACCGCTATTTCGGAAACTTGGACGCAAAAGCGATCCTCCGCGCGATGAAAATCAATAAGCTCAAGCGTCTGTTATTACAATAGTTTGCCGTAGCAAGCAACAAAGTTTGCTGTAAAGATCGAAAACCGTTTCACAGCTGTGGAGCACGAGAGATTTTTAAGTGGCTCCTGTATAAGCCGTCCAAAAGTAGACAAAATTGGCATTTAAATATGTTGCAGTTGTGAGTTTTATCTACGCGAAATTTCAGCCCCGGTCGCAGATGAAATAAAAGTAAGAAAAAAGTTAAAATTGTACTTTTTAACATTCTAGTAAACACCAAGTAACAGTTACATAACATCTATATTATAATTTCCTACTCAACAAGATAAATCTAATATCAAAGAATTTAAAAGACTCAGAGCCGTGACAGGGTGATAGTGTCTAAATATTCTATTCTAAGTTTATTGCGAAAAAATATCATCTTTTTTCGCAATAAACTTAGAATAAAATATTTAGACACTACCCTGTCACGGCTCTGAGTCCTTTAAATTCTTTGAAATTTGTGTTTAACACATACGAGCCATACTAATTTATTATAATAAATCTAATATAAGCCACAAAAACTTAGTTAATTACCGAATAATTATGGTATAACAATTCAATTGATGTAAAAATGATGAACTTAAATAGGATTTTACGCAAAGATTAGCGGAAAACGCATTTTCTACCGTGATAAAAAACGTGAACTTCGCAGATGCTCTTAGTGCAACGTTATCATATACGTAGGTGCATACATACATATACACGCACTAGAGAATTACTCGAGTAATCAGTGTATCGCGCATTACTACCGATCGAGGTAGCGTGGCCACTTTAACCCTCTCGCGCTTAATAAGAATCATTTTACGAGGCGGCCGCGATTAATTTCGTGAAAGATTCAGGTCGTGGAGATGGTGATTAAAGCCCATTAAGAGCGACAAATTGCTGAAACATCGGCGACCCGAGGAATTCCTATAAAATACATTTGCGCGAGATATTCCAGTTTATCTGCGATCTTTTCTAATCCTGGCAGAAACCTACACGGAAAGAAAAATTGTGGCTGCCGTAGCTAAAAACTGCATATTTCAGTTGTAAAATATGGACAGCTATAATAATAATTCGTTGCGATAGCTAAATATTTTGCTACGGTGTTTGCTACCTATTGTATTAGGTGCGACGGCAAACCATGATTAGCTACGGTAGCGAAATTTCTTTTTTCATTGCAGTGAGAAGTGATTCGTCAATCGATGTCGAAACGATGTCGAATCAACATCAATTTGCCGGTGTCGATGTCGACTCGACATTGTTAGGCATCGATCGACGAGTCATTTCTTGCTGGGAAAGTATCACAGAAAGATAAATGATAATTTACATGTGGGATATTTCCATAAAGTGAACGTAACTAATTACGTATATGATTAGAGAAGACTACCATTTTCGGTTGAATCTCGGTAGCAAAAATTCTCCTTTTGAAAATATGTTTAGTTTCAATGTGAAAATTTGGAAATATGTGAACGTAACTAATTACGTATATGATTAGAGAAGACTACCATTTTCGGTTGAATCTCGGTAGCAAAAATTCTCCTTTTGAAAATATGTTTAGTTTCAATGTGAAAATTTGGAAATAAGATTATATTGCATTAAAGGAAGAAAAACTTGAATGAGGCAGTTTTATATAATTTAATCAAGGGAAATATATGGTTATTATTTATGAATAATTTTCTTGAATGGAAAGAAAACAATATTGGATAGAAAACATATTTTCAAGTCGAAGATTATAATGATTAAAATGATTTTATTGTCAAAAAATATATATGTATTCTTGAGGCGACAATTGTAGTATTTAAATACAAGACTAATATATTGGAATGTAAGATTATTAAATGCTTTTAAGAAGAGTAGAGATTGTTGCGTATATAAAAAACAATAAATGCGTTAATTTGAGTGTATAAGAGTTGACCTGACACTTATATTTTTCAGTGTAATAATATTCCTGCTTAAACTTTTTCCAATTATTCTATACTTCTTCTCAGTAAACTGCGCGCCGATTATTCGTCGACTTTAGAACAGCTCCTAAAGCTGTTCGTATTAGATTCGTATCGGTCCTATCTGGCTTATTATGGCGACCTAATTGGATTCTATGGCACGATGAATGAATTCACTCACCAAAGTACACCATCGCGTACGTTCTTTCTAGTCCTGTCGCCGTCATATCAATCTCGCCGTTAACTTCGATGCTGGGCGACGTCTCATTCGGGCACTTCCGACGTACTTTATGTGCGAACGCAATAACCAAATGCGTTCTTAATATATGGCAAAATTTCAATAAATAATTATCTTATTATCTAATTACTGTGATCAACAAGATGATCATTCAACAATTAATATAAAATCCTCAGTATTCAAATAAACGATGTTCAATTGTTGACGGCCAATCTTGCGAACAACGTTTGAACGTGAACTATCAGTTTGCTGCTACGTACATTTAAATTGCGAGTGATAAGATATCGTTCATTATGAATATTATAATTAATTGTTAATTGACACGCCATGACGATCACGCGTTAGTTTATTTAACGTTTATAATGTACTGTACGTACATCTACACACAATTTTCACTCTTCAACTTTTGGAGCTAAAAAATATATAATAAAATGTGAGCAATTACTTATAATAACGCATACCATTGACAGTAAACATAGCGGTCGCAATTAAGGACATTAAAACTCAATTATGAGTTGATAAAGTATATCAGCCTCTATTACTATTGCTAATTATATATTTTTTTAAATAAAAATTTCTCAAGAAGCCCCAGTTAGAAATGACTCGTCGATCAATGTCAATTCGACATCGACACCGTCAAACTGATGTCGAATCGATGTTGAGTCGACATCGTTTCGACGAATTTCTCACTGGAGCGCATTGTTGAAACGCCAAAAATCCCATTATCTCGATACAGCCATGCAAAGTTTTAATATTATTTTGTTTCTTAAAGAAAGAAAATCCTGCTATATAAAAAAATTATTTTATAACTTTTCACAATGAACAATAAACACCTTTTTTTCAAATTTAAAACAATAGTTTTTTTTAAAGAATTAAAGATACAAAATGTATGTACATATACATGACCTATCAGTATTGAAAATGTATTTCATTCTTTGATAGAAGCTAAATCGACAAATACGTAGCGATTGACTCGCAGCATTTTATTTGGCGACCCCTATTTCATCACTCAAGTTTCACATATGCAATAAAATTAAAAAGCGTGTAATTAGTAGCGATTAATAATTAACGATAATTATCTACAATGTCAGGCTTGAAACGTTAAATGATATTTTAATTTAACGGCAACGGTAACGTTTTATTTCCTGCAAGAAAACACGATTCGATTAAATGTGAACATAGTCACGAGTCATCACAGCAGTCGGTGCATGTTTGTCGATCTGTAATAATATCGCGAACGATTCGAGTCTTCGAGTTTTTTCGTTTTTCCTCTTACACTCCTCGATAACATTTCACGTTAATGACAAAGAGCCAAAATTATGTAAAATTTTCAATAACGACCGTGAAAGGCTGTTCCTTCGTCAGATTCAGGTAATCGTATTTTGACCTCGCACAGAATTTTACATTTTATGATTTTTCGGTCAACGTGAGAAACAGGAAGAAAATGATTAAGTAAACCTTCATATTACATGTAATTGCATTTCTACCTAAATGAGCCGCTATGACATACATATATTATGCATATAAATACGTCGGTTCTTTCAGAAACAATATTCCATAATCAAATCGATTTGGAAATACTCCAACAATTTTAATTGAGCACGAAAATCTTACCTTAAAACTACTACTTACTTCCGAAAGCAAAATGCAAGCATTTTCTTGTAACTTGTATTTTATGTATATACAATTCAGTTAAACAGTATTGTGATTTAAAAATATCAAAGACGGCAAAGAAAAAAAGAGACAAAAACAAGTCATTGAAATAAATCTAACTGTCGTACTAGTGTGTAAAATTACAGATAAATTTCAGAGTTACAAAGTCTTGCTAGAGTGAGTTTTTACAACAAATACATAATTCCTCTGCTACATGTACATTTAATGTTCACTTAAATACAAATCACTTTGTGAAACCATAACGGCGAGTATTTTGAATTCACACGTAACGTATTAACTTATACTTTATACAAGAAAGTTAAAACTGATTTCCTGAAATTGCATCGATTCACATTTTGTGCTAGTCTCATACATTTTACGTCACGAACGTAAACAATGTATTTTTCCGTAATACAAGTTACATGTAACAGGGTTACATATGAATTATCTATTTTTAAAATTAACTACCTCCAAAAGATTCACGTCTTTCAGAGTGTGGAAACATATGTGTAGATAAAACACTTCAAAATATTTCCTTAATTTTATTATCCTCCTGTCTATAATTTATTTATTCGAAGAAGAGCATTTGACCCCACCGTACTACATTAACGACAACAAACTCATATTAATTTTGGATTGGAAGGTAGTGGTTTTCGGAAATGTGATTTATATCCTTTCAATCCGTAATATTTATAGCCACTCGTAATTCCTCTTCCCCCCAACATTATATATCGAGAATACATATCTACAATTTTCTACGCGAGGCAAAGCAATGGAAATGCTTATTGAAATGTTGAAGTACATATCATATTATAAATATGTAAAATATCACATAGTGATGGAAAATGGACGACAAGCAAGAAGTAAATATATCATATTTCGTAGTTCATACAACTTATTTAAAGTTTGAACGAAAGAAATATCGTATCATAATATGATTTGTCAATACATTTAAAAAATTGCGCAAAAATTTACTCGCACGAAATTTACTTTTGATCTAATCGCAACCTTTCTCCAGCCATGGAATAAAATATTTTATTGATCAATTATATAATCAAATTAATCCTTATCATTTAAATAGAAATCACTTAGCACAAGATACAATAAACAGAAATCATTATTAAAGTTGGCCAATCAATATACAATTACAGTGTTATAATTTAATTACTGAAAATATACCACATTAAAATGTTTTTAACAATTTTGATTTCGCCCTAATTACAGTAACAGACAAAATTATTGCAGTAGTGTTATTGTGCAGTCAATATTTCAACTTCCGTCAGGGAAGACATTTAATAGCAATATATTAGCACCGATAGTTGATTTACTTTCGTCATGAATTTCGTATCTATCAAGCATCACATTCTAGACGTTACAGAAATACGTTTTAGAAATTTTGTTTCCACGGGACTATAAGGCATTTTTGCGCTTGAATTAATTTTGCTTGGAGTCTTACGTCATATTCAGGTATGCTATTGCTGCTAACTGATTCTTTCATGTTTTAGAATGTAATGTGTGAAAACTAGTCAACTATCAGTATTAATACATCAATGTTAACTCACTAAATCATTCCAATTAAAACATTCCGCGATAACGACACTCTTCAAGGAACATGTACTGAAATATTATGTCTTCTAATATCAGGAGATGGTAGTAATATTGTCGCTTTTAACATGATAACATTGTTACATATGCAATACTTAATTCTGTCTTTAAAATGCTAATGATGCCTGAATTTCATAATTGCACCATTACTTTATTATCTTATTGCAAAGCGGAATTATATATTATTATGCATTATAAAAAGCACTGAAGACAAAAAGTATGCTTTAATATCTTTTGAAATTGTGAAAGTTAAAATGAGCATAAAATTCACATGCTGACTTAAATAAGTTTACCACAACAGTCAGTGTATAGAATGTTGGGAGAACACCATTGGCATAAATTTATAAACAGTAAGATTGAGAGAGAAAGAGAGAGAAAGAGAAAGATATTTCTCGCAAAGTATCGACAAATCGTTTCAGGCTGAACTGGCTTATGCAGTCCGTTTGATGATGTGAACTCCGCTATCTGTGTGCACAGGTAACGACAGTTCGCCGATCTTCAGTGCGAATGCTGCCTGCTCGAAGGGTTTCTGCATCGCTCCCCGACTGAAAGGTCCGAGGTCACCGCCGCGCTTTGCCGAACTGCAATCGCTGTACTTGGAGGCGAGTTCCGCAAACGATGCTTTGCCAGACGCGATTTGTTCTCTATAAGCTGTTGAAAAGACATTTTGTTATGATAATTACAACTGAAAGTGCTGCATAGCTTAGCGAGCAGTTGCCTATCGAGCAAAAGATTCCGAGTACAATTTCCAAACTTGCTGTTTCGCAAATGGACATAAAAAATTTGGAGGAAAATATTCCACTTTGGTGGAATGGAAAATTGCAAAGATGTCATAGGCTTACATTTCACCAACTCGAGAGCTTCGTCCTTTGACCTAGTAACGGTTTCCTCTCGCCAGGAAGAGGGTCGCCGAGAGCCTGAATGTTTGACAAGTAAATGAGAGCATTGCACTTCGTCAGGTTCATCCTTGTTTGGATCCGCTGGTTTATCTGGCCTATCCCACTGACTTTCCTTGGTATAAATATTTAAATAATAATGCTGACCTGTAATAATTGCATTCATTTGACGCAAAAACCTAAATATTAACAGTGTAGGGCGTCACTCGCCTACAGTGTAGAAAAGTCCAGGTTCAAACCCTGGCTGAGGTGATATTTTTTCGCAATAAATTGTCTCCAATTAAAATTGCCAGTTGCGTCGGTTATCAATTTTCCTACGCTGTTAATTATGTACTGATGACAACAAGTCTTTATTCTTGTTATACACTAAATATTAATATCAAATACATTTTTATCGTTTTCGCAACGCCCCGTGTTTATACGAGACAGGACTTGGCATTGAATGTTCTAAGGACTAATAAAATATCACGATTATGGTCAAGAAATTCGAAGGCAAAATTGTGTACTTGTAACTTTCAAAGAAATAGACTTGTGCCCGTTTTCACTAACGTTTAACTTGGATCTTACAACTAGTTTAATTCATCCTTTGCCTCTTTTTGACTGTCCCCTTTGTGCTCATTTCCACCAGTGCAGATTAACTTTGATCTTGGTTTAACTTAATCTTTCTCTAGTCTCAGGAATTGGAAAGACAAAAACTTAGCCAAACTGGGCTAAAAATTAATCTACATTGGTGCACAGGGAATTTTTCTCTTAAAATTTATCCTGAAAATTATGCAATTGTGGGACAACATGCTATGTTGCCATGTTCGCAAATTTTACCATACATTTTACTAGTAAAATGTATGGTAAAATTTCAAAATACTCTCACAAAGTTCTTTGAAGTGCTATGTTGTCCCACAATTACATAATTTTCAGGGCAGAGAGAAAATTCTCTCCGTGTAGAAATAGCAACATGTACACATAGACCAAGCATTCCTATGCTTTCACTAAGGAGCGGGTGAGCCCCGCTCCAGTGATAGTATTCTACGAAAAGGTGAGATAATAAGCTAGAGCAAGAAAGCAGTAAACACCAAACAACTATCTCACCCTCAAACTTTCAGCTTCACTGTGCAGACCAGAATGCTTGATCTACGTATACAATGCATGTCGTTGAGAAATAAGCATCGGAAAGAGACAAGACGATTTAAACCAAGATCAAAGTTAAACGACGTCGGTGAAGACCGGGGTTAGAGATAGAAGCAGATCAGACCGAGCTCGAGCTATGCTTCTCTATTACAAGTCGACGCACAAACAATGAAAGCACTGATTTTGAAAAAGTTGGCATAATTAACAAGGCAATCAATTCAACATCCCCGCAAGGCTCTCTCGCAGGCTCGCTGGTTAAAGTCAACGGACAGTCGGCAAAAGGTCAGTTGATATCGAGTACGTGTGATATTTCCAAGTTCTCCCGGCAAAATCCCGGGTGAGACGCGACCGACCGTCTCCAGCAGCCGTAGCCGGCGCGCCGCTCGGTCGCTCGTCGCCGGAAAACTCGCACCGGCCGCGAAGTACGTACGATCGCGTCGAGGATGCGACGAGGGGGGCCTCGGCGTGCGCCGGGCGCGTCCCCCAGGTCTCCCCCGTGCGAATTGATCGGCGAAACGTTGACGAAACACCGCGCACGTCGCGGGGCCGTCGCAGCGGCGCGCCGGCGAAAACGAGACGCGGCCGTGGCGAAATTTGCGACTCGGGGCCCGCGAGTCGCCGCTGGCGCGGCCGCGAGAGCCCGTCGGGCGTCAACGTACCGGTCGATCTGCTGAGACGTTTCTCCCATCCCGGTGGTAACTCGTCGTCCGCCATTGCCGTCGTAGTATTTTCGGACTGTTTTGCTGCTCTCTACCCCGGCGCGCCGCTCACACGTCAAACGCGCCGCACGCCGCGCCGCCAACGCGCTGAACGCCGCGCGGAACGCCGGCGCGGCCTGCCAACCTACGACTGCTAGGGGAATCGTTAAGGCCTGTGTCTCGAAGAGAAACCAGGGGAGCGATCACGTGCAATCGAATTCGAATTCGAGAAGGAATATGCCATCCGATACCACTCTTCGTACATGATCAATCTATGGTTTGAGGGAAACTATCCTATAATAAATAAGCATGAACCATGAAACCTGTAGAGTAGAAACGTATGAGAAGTCGACCGATCGAATTCGATCGTGCACGTGATCGCTCCCCTGGGGTGCTTT